GGGGCTTGGGGGGGGCGTGCTGGTAAAACAGGCTCAGGGCTGAAACTGGCAAAGCCCCGGATCTGGGTAATTTAGAGACCAGGTCCCACAGACTGAGAACCCGGCTGGGGTTGTTCACGCAAGGAGTCCACCACAATTCAGTCCTAGGGCTGTCCCTGCTTGAGCCTTAGAATGAAGTTTGGGTTCCGAATGGGCCTTGGGGGGGTTGGGGGGTTCATCAGGGGCTATGCCCAGTAAGGAGGCAGATCTTCGCAGGTTATGGGCCTCTCTGCACTTTCTCCCAGGCGTCGGGAGCCCTTTCCTCCGGGAGGACGTCCCGGAGGCACATCTGCACTCTGACACCCACAGCGCTCTGGGCGTCATGACCTGTGGCGGGGATGGCAGCGACGAGCGCAGCCCCTTGGTATCGCCGACTGAAGCAGGTAATCTCAAGTCCTCGGGCCGCCCATAGCCTAGAACTCCGCTCCCACTAGAACCCAGGAATCTGGAACCTCAGTCCTTGCTCTCCAAAGGACCCGGGAGTCCAGAACCACGGGCCCCGAAATCCGTCAGGACGAGTCCAGGTCTTGAGCATTCCCCTTCTCCAACACCCAGTAACCTGGATCCCCAGCGCTCCCCTCCCCTATAGCCCGCCTCCAGTTCCCTTCTCTGTTCTGTCCACCAGACAGCTTCTATCCGGAGTTGGAGGAGGTCTTCGTGGAGGATGTTCCCGCCTTTCCCTCTCCTTTTAAGGAGCCCCTACAGACAAGACGCAGGGGTTGGACATCCCGCCGACGACGTGGTAATTTCGGAGACATCTTCAGGCCCTCTGGCCCAAGGGGCAAATCCTCCCCCTTTTTGTAGCAGCCTTTTTGAGAGATATTTCACATACCATACAATTCACTCACTTAAAGTTTACAATTCCATGGTTTTTAGTATATTTAGAGATGTACACCTATCACCACAATCAATTTTCGTTTTTTCATCAACCCCAGAAGAGACCTGTACCTTTTGCCAGTCACAGCACCCCATTTCTCCCAGCCCCTGTCAACCACTAATTTACTTTCTGTCTCTTTAGATATGTCTGTTCTGGATGTTTCACATAAATAGAAAAATACAGTATATGATCTTTTGTGACTGGCTTCTTATGCTTAGCATGTTTTTAAGGTTCATCTATGTCGTNCTTTCTGTCTCTTTAGATATGTCTGTTCTGGATGTTTCACATAAATAGAAAAATACAGTATATGATCTTTTGTGACTGGCTTCTTATGCTTAGCATGTTTTTAAGGTTCATCTATGTCGTAGTGTTATCAGTACTTCATTCCTTTTTCCCCCTTAATATTTCATTGTAATGACATTTTATTCTCGTTACATGCCCAACTATTGCAAAACAGAAATCTTAATTATCACCCCAAAACTCCACTCTCTCTCCACCCCCCACTTTTAAAAAAAATTTTACTTTTAAAAATATATCTTTATTGATTCCAGAGTGAGGAAGGGAGAGATAGAAACATCAATAATGAGAGAGTCATTGATCGGCTGCCTCCTGCACGCCCCCGACTGGGGATCGAACCCACAACCTGGGCATGTGCCCCAACTGGGAATCGAACCCCGATCTCCTGGATCCTAGGCCGATGCTCAACCGCTGAGCCACGTCTGGCCAGGCAGAGACTTCTTGACCTGTGTGGACCCCTTGCACATGTGGGAAG